TACCCCACCGGGCTAACGCTTCACGCTTGCCAATAAGCGAGCGTCGGAACAGCAAAATGAGGCACCAGGCCGTAAATCGTTATTGCCAATCTAAAAGGTGAATCCGAAACCTCTTCGATCAATTCGTGATTAATGATGTTGCTAGACACGGAACCCAGATCTGTCCGATTTCAATACTAAGTACGTAGAAAAAAGGGCCATGTGTGAATTGCGGATAAAGGCGACCAGAGGATACCCACGAACTGGCCCCAATGATATTCACAAGTCTGACGGGGAAATCTGGGCAGGACGGATAAACAAACCTCACCAAGTATACAGGAGCTCGACGGGACACTGAACCAAGCCAATTGATTTCGCAAATACATCCCCACGCCCTGGCACCATCTGGTAGAAATTAATAACAAAACAGGTGTTGGTACACCAAAACCCAATTGAATGTGTCAAGCCTGAGACCCAGATGAGACCACTCATGACTAAATGTTACAAAAGGGCTAAAAGAGTAGCTGTTTTTTCATTTATAAAAAGTAAGACGAGGCCAGAGAACGGTTTTATGTACATAGGAAGTATAATCGTAATCGAAGGTACAACACGAAAATTTCAGGGTGTGAATGCAACTACAAGCCATTCGATTATCACTCTATACACTTAGTCAGTGATTGTTAATACGAAGGCAAGCAGCACTAAATGCACAGTGGAAGCTGACAGCTGGCGAACTGCCATGCACGGCACACAGTCAGGCTGCGCTGAAACGTGCATATCTAGTAAAATAAGCATGTACAAGAAAGGATGTTGGAAGCAAACTGAAATTATATACAGTAATGTGGGCTGTCAAAATAATTGATTAACACCTACAAATGGGTTGTAAAAGCCAGCAAAAATATGATTATTTGCCATTACGATAAATAAGCAGCGTTAAGTCTGGGATCTGTTTACAAACAAGGAAGTTGTGGCCACATTAGGATCAATGACTGGCCACAGAGGGAAAGGAAAGACAAATAACGCTCGTTGATGGTGAGCAAGTTTTGGCAACACCTGAAGAAATAGTATCAGGCAAAAAAGGAATCTAAATAAACCCGTTGATCTCATAAATGAAAAGCTCTCATATGCATCAGCAACTGCGACCAACGTTGAGCGAAGTGCACATTTACGTGGGCATGATCATGTATATCAAACCGGACAATAAGCGGTGCCGCGTTGGGGGAAAATAATACTAGCAAGTCATTTGATTGCAACGGCACAGCCCGAGAATATCAAATAAAACTAAATAAAGCTAGAAATCCTGTCATTCACTAGCAGTGAATGTCAAGTTGACGTGATGAGAGCAATGCACAAGTTAGTCAAAAAGACGAGGAAAAGTTGTGGAAGCTTTCCAACTCAATGGGCAGCAGATACATCGCATTTGGTTGTCGAGATCACGTTTTGGAGTGATCTATATTTTTATGGTCTATGGGACCCCCGAGAAGCTCGATGCTTTACTTTGTGTGACTCATAAAAATCTTTGCTTTTCTCATGAATTGAACTAGTAGATAAAGCATAACAAATGCCATCTCCAGGAACACGACTTGAAGATTGAGAGGTTGATGATTCAATGACCGCTTCATGGCCAAGAGACTCTGGATAATCTTTGGAGTGAGAAACAGAAAAGTTTCGAAAGACCTTTCTATCACGGTGTGCATGGACACTAGTAGGGACATCTGTGCCGAAACGAATACCGCGCCGCCTAGATGGGCGTGGAACTTGAGAAGTATCTTGTGTGAAATCATCTGCGGCGACTGGTTCGGACCTCTGCTTGTGGTGTACAGGTCGAGGGGGCCGGAAGCTTATAGAAGATTCAACTTTATTTGCTGAATGTTCACTAGTAATTGCCAGTTGGCCGTTTTCCCCCGAGGCGAGGGTAGGAGAGAGGGGCCTAGAGCAACGACGTTTATGT